AGTAGACAAACTGTGGCTTCTTCAGAACCAGAAATTCTGAGACTGGTATGTATAATAAATTAATCTGACTTGAACAGAGCTGTACTGATTCCTTTGTTTTTTTCTTTTTAAAAGAATTATTTAATTTTTTATTTATTCACTCGTTTATTTTAATTTGACCAGAGAGAGACAAAAGGAAAGAGAGAGCCAAGGGAAAGTGAGAAAGCAAGCCACTGGGTCCAGGACTCAAACCATGGTCAGCCATGTGGGAATGTCCATCACCCTAACCACTATGCTACCTGCTGGTCCCCAATTTTATATTTTCCTGAGAGATTTTTGCCTTGGGGTACATGCACTCTCCAGAGGGAGAAAGAGAGAAAGAGACAGACAGACACAGTGAGAGGGAAAGTGAGAAATCACCCCCCCCCCCCTGGGGCATGTCCATGCTGCAATCCCTTCTCCTCCATTCTCCCAGGATTTGGGGCATGCATGCTTAGGTGTCTGGTGTGAGTTTCAAGCACTGGGTCCAGGACTCAACCACGGTTGACCGTGTGGGAGTCCAGCAAAGTAACCGCTTGTCATCTGCTGCTGCTTCCCCACCCCAATTCCTTAATTTTAATTTTTGTGCCATCCTATTCTGATGTATTAGTATTACCACATGTCAAACATCTTGTCTCTGAAATGTTTAACATTACCTTTGCAGTTCAGCTTTAGGAAATAATTATTTTTAAACTGTTCTCATGGTGGTGCAAAATTGCGTACCATTCTATTTCACAGGTAGTCTTTTACTCTTTTATACCTTTGTATACAGCTGTATATTTTCAAGTACAGCAATTTTAAGTGTGGGAAGGCGTTTAAAGACGGTGCTGAAGGCCCCTTGCTGGAGTAGTTACTGTCATTGAGAACATGTTCTCTTTCACAGGTCGTGAACCTGTTGATGGCGATTTTGCTGACTGTGGAGGTGACTCATCCAAACTCCATGCCAGCTGTCAATATTCAGTATGAAGTCATTGGTAACTACTATTCCTCGGAGAGAATGGCTGGTGCGTTATTAGATGAAAAGAAAATAGCCCCTGCTCCATATGTGTGATTACATACATATATAAAATGTGTATACATGCTGGTTATTTACAGGAGGATTGAATTATGCAAAGGTTACCTTTAAAGGCTTCAGTTACATGATGAGGTTAATGTGATGTAATTAAATTATTTAAGTTACTCTGCTACTGAGGCAGGGAAGTATTTTGATGTAGTTTGTCAAAAATATTCAATGGGGGGATGAGCGGGTGGCGTGGTGGTTAAGGTGCTGGATGCTCCCACATGGCTGACCACGGTTCAAATCCTGGACTTGGTGGCTTGCTTTCTCACCTCTCTCTCTCTCTCTCTCTCTGGTCAAAATAAAAATGAATGAATGAATAAATAAAATTAAATAAATAATTAAAACTAATAAAATGTTTAAAAAAAGTGTTGGCCATTTAAAAGAAAAATTCAGTGGGAGTTAAAATAGAACATTGCTACCCAGAAAAATGTAATGAGCTAGTAAGTTTTTGAGAAATGGATATTGTGTACCTCGATACCGTCAGGTACTGGAGAGAGGAAGAGAGAAGTAGGAGTAACTATAACTCTCCGAGGGCAGCTGGCAGGTGTACTTGGGATGGGAGATTTGCTCGTGTAGCAATTAAGACAACTGAAAGTAAATATAAAGTACGAGTTATTTGAATATTTGGTATTGCCTTTTATTTATTTATTTAATTCCGTTTGTTATTATTTTTTTAATTTGACCAGAAGAGAGAGACAGGGAAAGTAAGAAAGCAAGCTTCCAGGTCTGGGACTTGACTTGCTGTTGGTCATGTGGGAATCCAGCATTTTTAACCACCACGCCACCTGCCTGCCCTTTGGTGGTGTCTTTTGCACACAGTCACAATTCTATATCTATCTCTATTTAGATAGAGACTTGACATTGGGTTAAAAATAGAACATTCCCATAAATTACTTTTTTTTTTTTTTTTTTTTTTGGGTTTTTTGGTATGGGGCGCATGCCCCCCCCAAAAAGAAAGAG